CAGGACTACATCTAATTTGGAAACTGAGTAAAGCAAGTTGTTCCGAGCCCAATCTTTGAATGTTAGTCTACTTTGCCAGGATTCGCCTAATGAAACACCCGCAGGGCACATTCGCAGCGAAGCCCAAACTATCCCTAATTGCACAGCCCACGCACATGCGACTTAGAATTAGGTTTTTTATTCCCGTCTTGACTTTAAATATCACAAAAGCTGACGTTCACCTTCTATATCAAAACTTCCGCCCTAAAGTTCGAGTACATTCGATATTCTTTCGCGCTCTATAATTGAATTTCAATTTTGAGCACAAAAACGCTCAAAATAATTGTGATATTTTATGCCGGGCAATGTTCGAGGGATCGCATGCTGGCAATAGCGAAATAGGTTCACGAGTACTTTCAATGTGTTGATTCGATTTGCTTCGCTTTCATTCTGTGACTGAATTTCCTGGCAACAAACAAACTCGTTAACTGTCTGCCGCGTTCTCGTCGCTGATTTTTCCTCTTGATTAGCTGAGCAGCCTATAAATTCACTCAAAAATATTCTAACTTCTGCAAATGTGTTCTTGGAGATAACTATATGGCTTTTGATTTGGTGAGATTTGTTTTTGTCAGATGAGCGGAAACTACGTAGCTGCGAAGTGTAAACAGGAAGAACATTACAACGAGGCTTGTAAGAGGGCAAACTTCTACGACAATATTTTCACTTTTTTGAGCGATTACCTTCACGTTTGTTGTCGGTTGATACTTCAACTATTTGCCTCAATGTTCATGATCAAAACTTCCTTCAAGCTGCTGAAAATACTACCGAAGAGTATCGTCAAAGAACTTACTCGCTTACGGATTGATCTTATTGCATTGCATCTGTACAACCTTCGTTACCGCTATTGTTCGGATGTTGCCTTCTCAGCATAGGAAAGTTATCTTTTTTGCAGAAATTATTCCTACTCCTTCCTTCCCCCGTTCTGAATACTGCCACATTTGGTAAATTAGGCAACCTCAATGGATACGACCACCATCATTGATGAAGTAGTTAAGACTGCCAACAAGGTAAGTTCAGCAATTTCTGGTTTTCTCTGACGGTTACTTATCAAGGCAAAAAGCTAGATCTTTCTGATAATTAGAGCACGTTTTGAAAACTTGTTGAAAAACGAATAGGGCTGCTTGTGTACTTCTTTGAACGTCTGATGACAACGTTTCTTTTCAGGGTCTCCTTTTCCATTCTGTCTCGATCGAAAATTATACTCTCGAGGATTGTCAGATTGCTTACCATGCCACTACAAACTCACTTATTCAGGTTTGTTAACCTATGCCTTGTTTTTCAATCTTACACGATCCATTCGAGTAAATCTTGTTGTGGAGAACTGTAGCT